CTTTTTGTCACTTAGATTGGTGTCACTTGGATTAGTGGCATCCTTAGAGGGTGTTGTATTGAACTATACATGTTTGATTGAGTTAGAACTAAGGCAGAGGTTAGTATATTCTTTATGTTCATTCTCATATATTTCAACCGAGGAGATTTTCTCTTGGAAACCTGTTAATTGAAGAGAATAAACAACATTGTCGTGTACATATATTCTTCTAATTAATTTATAATCTCATCGTTTGGTGTTGAATTTGAGATATTGCCGCTATTGATGATCCAAAATATGGCAATTTCGACTTTTGCATAATCTTTCATCGTTAACAACGATGGTGGATTAGGAGCATGAGTAAGGAAAGAATCACATGAAAATTCCTTTATCATGTCTTTGATAGATGAGAATGAAAACCGCGAGATTGGCATGATGGATTCATGAGATCCCATTAGCAATTTAATTCTGAAGGAATAACTTTACTTTTAGTGCGTAAGGTGGTGCATTTGTATTTGGAAAAAATAGGGATTGCTCGTGGTATCGGGAAGTCATGAATTTTCGGACTTGGGCCAAAGGAGAAGAATAAAAAATGAATGGTCTCGAATTAGAAACTTTCTTTCGATCACCAAAACGCGAGACATGTAAAAAAAAATGGTCATTTTTGTGTATAACCAAAAAAAAATAATAATAATTAAAAAGGAAGTAAAAATGGGATATGTGGCAAATCTTGATCATTGGATGTGGAGGTTTTGATTAATTTTTAGATTATAATTTTTTTGTGTTATTTTTGCCAATTTCCCTAAAATTTTTTTTGCACCATTAGGGATTATTATAAAAAAAAAAAGTTAAGCTAAATCGTAGTCAAATTGGAAATTTTATAAGCCCATTAAATCTTAAATTAGAGACTCGCTCGTAATAAAAAACCCCATTAACATTTTGGGGGCGGTTTCCAGATTCTCTCTCTTCTTCCTTTACCGGCGACGCATCGTCGAGGTGCTTTATCGGAGTTCTGGTCACTTCTTCTTCTTTATTGCTCTCCGGTTTGTAATTTACTCGTCACTGTTTCTTCAAAAGGTCGCCTTTATTTATACCCAGTGGAAGATTCTTAAATCTTACAGTGACCTGAAACACAAATTCCGTTGTTCATGACAGTGACCGGAATTTCTTCAATCTTTGGCCGTCTTTTCCGACACGACAAAACCCACAAGTGCATTATCCGTACACAACCCAAAACTTCAGTGACTCACCAAATTCTTGACCACCTCGAAGGCGGTAACATCTCGAAAGCCGTCTCTGTCCTCTTTGCTTCTCCAGAGCCAGTTGCGTATTGGCTATACGAGCGACTTTTCCGTTCTTGTTCCTCGAAATCCCTTATTGTTCAAGCCCGTAAAGTCGAATCCCACTTGCTAACTTTCTCTCCGTTGCCTCCGATTTTCCTCTTGAACAGAGCCATTGAAGCTTATGGGAAATGTGGGTTTGTTAATGATGCGCGTGAACTGTTCGAGCAAATGCCTGAACGAGATGGTGGGTCCTGGAACGCTGTGATTACTGCTTGTGCTCAGAACAATGTCCCTGATGAGGTATTTCGTACGTTTCGTAGGATGAATAGGGATGGAATTCGAGCAACAGAGACTTCTTTCTCTGGTGTTTTAAAGTCATCTGGTTTGATCTTGGACCTGAGATTAGTGAGGCAACTGCATTGTGCTGTGATGAAGCATGGGTTTTCTGGGAATGTAGATTTGGAGACTTCGATTGTTGATGTTTACGGGAAATGTCGGGTTATGAGCGATTCGAGAAGAGTGTTTGATGAGATTCAAAACCCTAGTGATGTTTCATGGAACGTGATTGTGCGGCGGTATCTTGAGATGGGTGATAATGATGAGGCAGTGGTAATGTTCTTTAAGATGCTAGAGTTGAATGTTCGACCTTTGAATCATACCGTTTCTAGTGTAATTTTAGCCTGTTCAAGATCCCTGGCCCTTGAGGTGGGAATGGTAGTCCACGCCATTGCTGTCAAACTTGATTTTGTGCCAGACACAATTGTTTCTACTTCTATCTTTGATATGTATGTAAAATGTGGCAGATTGGAGAGGGCTCGTAAAGTATTTGACCAAACAGAGTCAAAAGATTTGAAATCTTGGACTTCAGCGATGTCGGGGTATGCAATGAGTGGTATGACTAGAGAGGCAAGGGAGCTCTTTGATCTGATGCCTGAAAGAAATATCATCTCGTGGAATGCAATGTTGGGAGGATATGTACGTGCTAGCGAATGGGATGAGGCACTGGATTTTCTCAATTTGATGCGCCAGGAGATTGAAGATATTGATAATGTCACTCTTGTGTGGATTCTAAATGTCTGCTCCGGTAAATCAGATGTTCAAATGGGGAAGCAAGCTCATGGTTATATATACCGGCATGGATATGATACAGATGTAATTGTAGCCAATGCACTTCTTGATATGTATGGAAAATGTGGTAGCTTGCAGAGTGCCAACGTTTGGTTCCGCGTAATGAGTGAACTTAGGGATGAGATTTCTTGGAATGCTTTATTGACTGGTTTAGCTCGAGTTGGCCGGAGTGAACAAGCCATATCTTTCTTTGAAGGGATGCAACTTGAGGCAAAACCTAGCAAATACACACTCGCAACGCTCTTAGCGGGTTGTGCAAACATTCCTGCTCTTAATATAGGCAAAGCAACCCACGGGTTCCTGATCAGAAATGGCTATGAAATTGACATCGTTATACGGGGTGCTATGGTTGACATGTATTCCAAATGCCGATGTTTGGACTATGCGATCGAAGTATTCAAAGAGGCAGCTACGCGGGACTTGATCCTATGGAACTCAATTATTCGTGGATGCTGTCGTAATGGAAGAAGCAAAGAGGTGTTTGAGTTGTTCATGCTTATGGAAGATGAGGGAGTTAAGCCTGACCATGTCACATTTCTAGGAATCTTACATGCTTGCATACGCGAAGGTCATGTTGAACTGGGTTTTAAGTATTTCAGTTCTATGAGCACCAAATATCTTATACTACCGCAGGTTGAGCATTATGATTGTATGGTTGAACTCTATTGCAAGTATGGATGCTTGCATCAGCTTGAAGAATTTCTCCTCTTGATGCCTTTTGATCCAAATATCCAAATGTTGTCAAGGATATATGGTGCTTGCCAAAATTATGGCTGGCAAAAGTTAGGAGCATGGGCTGCTAAACGGCTTAATGAATGATCCTCACCTTCAGCCACCATATATGAATTTCAAACAAAGAGGTTGTGTCCTGCAGTCAGATCCAAGCATATGCATTTAGAAGGATTGCAGAAAAATCCGGTGTCTTTTGAAGACCAGGAAGAGAAACGGGACTGAAGCCGTTGACGCAGGAGGTGAAGAGAGATCAGAGAGACAACATTAGGCTCTCCAAGTCATTTCTTTTCTTCCCGGAGGTAATCACAAATTCTCAACTCTTCTTTTAATTGCTTTTCATGCACTTTATATATGTGTATGTGTCTGGTTGTGAGAGCGTGTATGCATCTGCATGTCTCTCTGTATGTATTCACTGACCACATTTTTGCTCTTTTCTCATTAGTTATGTTCGTTTGCTGGTAAGTTTATGTTCCATGTACCGCTTTGTGCTCTATTTGTGACTGAATTTTGGTTTCTTTCACTCAGCGATAGATCCGATGATTGAAGTTTATGTTGTCTAATTTCTCATTCTGCTGGAAAGGGATGGGTTTGTCTTCCTGTTTAATAGTGTTGGTGAAACTACACACTCTAATACTCGTTCCTGATTTTCTATATCATTAGTATGTATTCTACCAAGACTTTCGTTATTGGTACGCTCTCTGCATTTGAAATTGTGCTTCCATGTTTGTGTCTTGATTTGAAGTTAATTGATCTTGTTTCCTGCTTGCTTTGATTATCCTGGTTGAGTATGGTATCAAGATACTTGATACCTGTCACTTTCTTATTAATGAATAAGCATAAGGGTTTTGAATCTAGCTGTTTTGCTGCTCAAATTCATTACTATGTTCATACTGAAATCAGGTAAAAGATCTTCCCAAAAAACCAGCATTGTGGTTCCCCAAAACAGAGCGCGGTCTTTTGCTTTGAATGTCTTATACTCTGAGTCTCTGATAATGGTACGATCTAAGTGTTTATTTGTTTTTTATAGATAATACTATTAATATCAGTGTAGCAATTTTCGTGGTTAAAAGTTAGATAAAGTTTGATGTGTGAGGTTTTCAAAACTTTGTGATCGGTTATCAGATATGTCAACCAATTTTTTTTTGCATTTCCTTGATGAAATAGATACAAACCCTGGATGATGCAGCTTCCATTAAAATGGAGTACATAAGGTAAAGTCATTCACTCTCATGTATATAAGCTATAAATGAAGTTTGATCTCGAGTTTTCGTCTCATCTCTGTGACCAATTTAACAGATTTATAACCATTTCTTGTATATCCGCTGTTTGTATTTTCACAGTTTGAGAGACAGAGAAGTCAGATGTCTACAAACAACTCTGAGTAGAGACTCTACTTGAAGCGATGAGACAATTATAAGGTAGCAAATGACTCTGCTTTTATTTGGTGTCAGTAATAAGGACAGATTTATTTTTATACTTGATGTCCCACTTCTGTTAGGAAAAAAATCGTTTTGATTGTAATAAGCCAATGCAGAAACATTTCAATTCAGTATTTATAAACTCCACTCTATCTTATATTCCGAAGGATCATCAAATACAAGATTTTAGAAGTGGTAAGGTTTTTTTTAGAATAAATAATTCAAGATTTTAAAGTTAGACTTTGTTTTGTACTGATATAAATGGTTTTTTCTTATATGAGTTTGAATATGTGTTGAATGTTTCGCGTTAATACAATTCTCAATCTTATTATTTTCGATATTCATATCGATCCTCACTTATATTTGGTTCTATTTACATGAATATATATAAAGCCCTAATATGAAAGTCTGACCTTTTTATCACAGGCACAAGACAGTGGGGTGACAGTTATTTGACAAGCAAGTTTTGTACTATCAGACAAAGCCTCTTCAACATTCACAGGCACCGATATAAACACTTCTCCATTCTCTTGCAATGAATCAAACCTCCTTGAACCTTTCCATATTTGTTGGATGGAGGAGGATATGGAAAGCGAGGATCGATCTGATTTTTGAAAACAGAAGGCAAATTCCTGACATCATTAATAAACCTCTAATGGATTTCAATCTTTGCACAGTAAATGCTGACGAAGAAAGTCATTGGAGCCCCCAAAGAAGAAACAAAGTCACTCAATGATGAGTTCTCAAACCAGAATGAGTAAAGCTGCTTTGAATAACAATGAAGGAAGCTCTTAATAAAAGTGGTAACTATTGCTGCATTGTTGATGCTTCTTGGATAATAATTCAGAGTCAGATTGGTATAGGCTGGGCTATGTATTGAATGCAAAAAATGGGAAACAGAGGCATTAAGAAAGGCAGTTTCACTTTGCTAAAATTGTAGAGGATATATATATCGATAACATTCTCTGTGGTGACTCTTAAACCATGTTCTATTTTAATGTCTGCTTTTTGAATCATTTGATTCTGCAGATACTTTGGACGCAGACGACTAATATTTCTATTTTGGAACATCAAAGTCATCTTATTTCCATCTCAACTTATAGTTGTTGTTGTTACTAATTTCATTGAATCGATTTAGATTAATTTTAGTATCATAGAGTAATATATATTGTGTACACAGTAGTACTACTAATAATTACAAAAGATGCAAGAAGTGTATGTTAAAAAAGAAGCTAGAATGGTAGTATAGGATCAAACATCATCTATATATTAATTGAGCAGACACTAAGATGAAAATCATATGTGTTACTCAATGAAGGTTTCAAAGAACATATCATTTAAATTAACCAATAAAAACATTTCAATTAATTCTATATATTCTTATTAATTTTTAACATAAACCCTACTTGGTTTGCATTTCTAACTCCAACTAAATGTAATATTTAGACTTACCATGTTATCTATTTTAAAAACTTCTTTTATATTTTAAAAACTTTTTATTATTATATTTGTGACAATATTATTTATTGTTTATATATGTATTTAGATTAATATGATATATAAAATTTTAATCCATTTCATTATTGAAAAATAAATATTGCTTTTCGTTTATTATGTCCGACAAATTCGTATAAATCTAAAATTTAATTGATTTATCGCATGCTCTATAATTTATAGGAATAATAAAAATTAATTTTACACTTAAAATATATTGAAATAAATAACATTTTCATATGTTCTAATCAATTGCACATAAAAATATTAAAACTGATGGCATCAAAATATGCTTAATCAAAATTTAACTTGATTATACTTATGGACAATGCATATCATTTTGTAAGTTTATAAATATTAGAAATCATATGATTTGTTAGACACATTTACATATTAAAATAGATTAAAGATATATTTAATTATCTAATCCCACGTTTGGCGTGGGTCAAAATCTAGTTCCCAATATCATAGGATATATATTACCATTCTTATTTCTTACCATTAGTTGTGAGCTTTTTGCATTACCCGTGATTTCAGAATAATTATTTGTTTTAACTTTTTTTTGAAAATACTATTAATATTATTTGTTTTAACTTTAAAAACACCAATGT